TAGTCCCGTGCGAATCGACATCTTTGTGATTTGGCCAGCATTTGGTGGGTCGTATATCATTTTTCGAGGTTTTTGTTTCCTGTGCGCCTTATTATCCATCTTTCGAGAAGAATGGAGCTGCGTTGGAGTGTTTGATAGTATTTTGGGTGCTGTCATATCGCTACACCATACAATTTGCAGAAAGAGAAAGCTGAAAAGCGGGAAATTCGAGTACAGTCTCAGACTTCGCTTATCCCGTGCAAATGCACCACACTAAATTCAGATGTGGGGGGGGTAATTTCAAAATCACACAAGGTCCCCAGATAATACTAATCCCGTGCGAATAGGGCTTATGTCAGCGAGAAAAGCGCAGAAAATATGGCAAATAAACAGTCCTGCAGCTTATACAGTTAAACAAAATTGAGTTAAATGAGCATCGTTGAATAAATACTGAATGACTTAGGTTTAAAACCAAATTTAAACGGCTATTTTCTTTATTATTTTCTTCTTCATCTGCCAAGGAAAATAACCCCACTATGGGTCATATGACCCCTTTAATATGTGCTTTATAAGTACTAAAAAACAGCCGATATGCAATATGTGACCCTGGAGCACAAAAGCAGTCTTAAGTCGCTGTGGTATATTTGTAGCAATAGCCAAAAAAATGTCGTATGAGTTAAAATTATCGATTTTTCTTTTATGCCAAAAATCATTAGGATATTAAGTAAAGATCATATTCCATGAAGATATTTTGTAAATTTCCTACCGTAAATACATTAAACTTCATTTTTGATTAGTAATATGCATAGCTAAGAACTTCATTTGGACAACTTTAAAGATGATTTTCTCAATATTTAGATTTTTTTGCACCCACGGATTCCAGATTTTCAAATAGTTGTATCTCAGCCAAATATTGTCCTATCCTAACAAACCATACATCAATGGAAAGCTCATTCAGCTTTCAAATGATGTATAAATTTCGAAAAATTGACACTTATGACTGGTTTTGTGGTCCAGGGTCACATATATAGAGTTAATAGTGAAAATATTGGTTGGATATTCTAATCATGGAGTTGGTTTTAGTGGACAAAAGGCCAGTAAAGGGTAACACATGTCCAGCTTAGTCCAGTTAAGCTGAAAATCAGCCATCTCTCTTCATCAAGCACCACTAGCAAACATTGAGCCGCCCACAAAGGGTTTATTGAAGAGATTGTGTGTCGGTCTCTAGCTGTCCCTCTGTTGCTGAGTATCTCAGCAGGGATCCGGTGACCAGGAGACCGGCTCACTTACAGCCCTCATCATGATATGTGATGTAATGAGGCCATTAGATCCTGCTAATAGGTTGTTGGAGCAGTCAAGCGAAAGAAAAGTCGGTGGATGGATTTGGGTGGTCAGATAACATTGCCACTGAGCTCTGAGGAAGGCCAGGTGTGTGAGCTGTGGAGGAAGAACTCATGCTGACTTCCCACGTCACTTTTATAACAGGTGAATCAACTCCAAGAGGTTTTAGATGTAATTGACAAGTAATGAGTATTACTGTCATCAAGTCACTGAACTCAAAGCAGCTTCATAACGGTACGGGATGGCTATTGACTATTGACAGCTGTTGCTGAAAGATGACCAGAGTTACTGATATTTCAATATTTGATATTGTATGCCTCATTTTGGCAGCCTCTCAATGTAAAGAAGGGGTAGCTGGACGATATGGCCAAAATGTATATCAAGATGTATTTCTTAATTTCTGTCAATACGATATAATTCCGATATCGATATGAACAATATATTTTTAAAAAAGCCTCAGAAGAACTGCCAAGAACACCCACAACGGATGTCTGTACCTACAAACTTCTGAAAAAATTAATTTGTCAAGTCTATGAAACCTCCTCTTATAAAACTATACGATATTTTAGAAATAAAAACAGTACAAATAAATGAATGTTCAACTTTTATTTGTATTTAGCCTTCATACAAACAAGAAATGTGAAATCGCTGTCAAATAAACATAAGACTCTCAGACTCACCTTAATAATATTAATATCTTTGACTTTAAACTGTACATAGGCTGATTATTCTTAGACTGAAACAAATGTGCTTCAGCCGGGATAAAGAATATGAAAAGTGCTCAGAGTTGCTGCAGAAAACAGAAAAAAAAGAGTGAGCAACAACAAAAACGTGTTGCTAAAGGACCTTATTGAAAATGCAAATTCATTCTCTGCCAGCAGGAGGCGCTTTTGGAGCGGCAGAAACAGCGGTTTCCCTGGTAACGGCTGTATACAAAGCAGCGCTCCGCTCATAAACGCTACTTTATCAGATGAATGATAACGCCATCAAAACTTTTCTGAAAACAGTCGGTTCCCTTCAGAGATACATTCATATAAAACACCCACGCCGCGTTTTGATTTTGAAACATGAGGCGCTCATGTTTATTCAATTAAGTTGTGGTGGCCACCACAAATAAATCAATGTATAGGAAACACTGGTAATGTATATCGAAATATCGGAAATGTGTTTAAAAATCATATCGCCGTTATTTAAAAAAATATATATTGTGATATATATTGATACTGAATTATTGTCCAGTCCTAGGTCCTATTATGCTTTTTCAGTTTTTCAACTTTAGTGTGTAATGTTGCTGTTTAAGCATAAAAAAGTCACAATGTCACTCATTTAAATAATTACCGCCCACATAATATGCAAATAAGGGGGCGTGGCCTGGTTGAGCTGCACTAGAGACCATAGACTAAAAAGTAAAAATAAAAAAGACACTCTGAAATGTCCCGTAAAATCCGTGCTTGAAAAAGTTTCCTCTTGTTCGTAAACATTCAGTTCGCAAACTGTAAACAGACTCATTTTACATGACTAATAACATAGTAATTGCCCATTGGATGAAAAGCACATATAACTGGCTGGAGGCAGGTTACCTTGACACCTGTTGCCCAGGAAACCATCCAGTAGCTGCCATGACGAGCAGCATCTTTGGATATAATGTGTGCTGCTGATATGCAGTAGCTCTGTGCAAATGTCAGCTCATTAAACTCAACACGCTTGACCTTTCTCTCCTGAGCTCACCTGTTTGTGGAGAACACCTGTGAACTGTCAACAGCATCTCCTCGCTTTGATATGCAAAGTTGACGTTAATTGGTCTATGGATTCCAAATTAGTGGAAAATTAAAGTGCAGAAATGTCTTTTTGGTTTGTTGCTTTTAAATGTTATCGCTCAGCCAGCTCTGTTTCAAAATCTAGTGAGCTCTCTAGCTGTCTACAGTGGTGGCCAAAATGATTAGAACACTAGTATTTTCAGCAGCTAAAAAATGGTTTTAAGTCAGTTATTTCTATCGTTTGCTGTAGTGTGTCAGTAGGAAATATCAGTTTATATTTCCAAACATTCATTTTGCAATTAATTGTAATAATCCAGTGAGAGTTTTGTCTGACAGCAGCAAGTGCTGCACACAGAGATCTGATCTGATCATCATCAGTCTGTCTGGAAGAACATGAAGAAACAGAACAAACTGAGACAGACTCAATCCAGAAGAACTGTGTCTCCAAGACGCTTCAAGAAGCCTTCCTGCAAAGTTTCGTTCCAGAATGATTCAACGTTTTTGAATGAATCGAGTGAGTCAATGATTCAATAAGCCATTCATAAAGACAGTGGCTAAATTCGAAACTGCATACAAGTTGACTACGCTTACTAATTTTAGTATACCTTTTCATGGCAGAAATAGTGAGAGTAGTAGTATTCAAGTATGCGGTTCTGAAATCTGGGGCCAGTTGCATAAACTTAGCAACCATGTTAAGACTGTGTCTTAAAAACTAGTTTGACCAACTAGCAGTTGCCAAGGGGAAATCAGTCTTATTTTTCCAACACAAATAAAACCAATTTACCGTTTCATAACTGAATTAAAAAAGTTATGACCAGTCTTGAAGAAAAAAAAATTAGATGACTAACTTTTTAAGACTAGTCTAAACAGTTTATACAACCGGCCCCAGAAAGTCACTTGCTTCATTCCTGAATGAATCAGCTGTTTCAAACGAATCAGTTGAATGAGTGAATCAATGACTCACTCATTAAGACAGTGACTTGTTGGTTTTAGTTTCATATTTAAAGTAGCATTTCATAGTTCTATGTTCATTCTATTTTATATTTAAAACGCTAATATCATATAACATTTATGCAATTGTAACTGAAAAGTGAAAGTGACGTGACGTGGCGAAGTATGGTGACCCATACTCGGAATTAGTGCTCTGCATTTATCCCATCCTAAGTGCACACACACAGCAGTGAACACACACACACCGTGAACACACACCCGGAGAAGTGGGCAGCCATTTTTGCTGCGGCGCCCGGGGAGCAGTTGGGGGTTTTTAACTGCCGTGTAAATGCATTCATGGCATCTCTGAGCTGCATTAAACAGTCTGTGTGAATGCATTTAAATTCCACTTCGGATGCAGCATCTGAAGTGCAAAGATGGATTTTGTTGATTGATTTAATTTGATTAATATCAGCCCTATAGTATTTTTTTATTCTAATTGCATTCATTGAATAAATACATGAAATTACATGAAAGATGATGCATACATTTAATAAGGTTAGAAAATTTGCCCTTATAAAGGTTAAAAAATGTCCCTGGAAGATTTAAGGTGGAAAATATCATACCCTAATGGAAATGTTTATTTGTTCTCACTGATTTAGCTTAACTATAACTTGCCAGTCATTGTTTATTAGTTTTGGTTACTTTCGTATTTCGCAGTTACCTTTTTTATTTTTATTCAGTGGCAGAAACAAGCTTCCATGCCTCAAAGCACACTGTGACTGTCATCTGTAGTCGTATGGGACTAATTTTCTGGATCTTCTGCACAGATTTTCCAGTGACGCTGCTCTTTTTGGCACGAGCGTCTCTTCATTTTACAGCTGACACGTTAATGTGATGCTTTACTGGTTTTCTGCTGTATCCAGATGAATTGTTAAAGTGAAGTGTCAGCAGAAGGTTTGTCCTAACTGAACTTTATTTATGTGTTCACAGAGACATTAAGCCAGACAACATTTTGCTGGATGAGCACGGTAAGTCCTAAAGATACTATAAATCACCATCACGTCTGCTGTTAGTGCTTCTTGTTAGGACAAGCATCATTATTACTATTGCTCAGACTGACTCTCTCTCTTTCTGACTTGTTGAGTGATAACGCTGGTGACAGAAAGGCATTGAAGGTTATTCATGGCAGATGCTTCACATTGGTCTGGATAACCGGTGTTGTCAGGGAGAAAAAGCAACCTGCATAATTTTTCATCAGTATGATAATAGGCAGGGGAATATTAATGTGAAGATAGTTATGACCCCGTCTCTAAACAACAACAAACAGCAGGTGGTTGAAGACAACAGGGAGGGCCAGTGAATTTTCTCTACCTCTACTTTTTCTCACTTTTTCTCTTACACTCTTTAGTGAGGAAATCAACAATAGCCATGCAATTTTCAGTAGCTTTGGTTCTGGAAGCATTCATTTTCTCCACAGAGATTTCTAAAACAATCTTCATTAAAGAGCTAAGCCGAGAGCCAAACCAAAATCAATGTCAGAATTAGAAACTTTGCATCAAGAGTATCTGAAAATCGGCAAAATGTAAATTTTAGGCACTTTTTATTGTGTATATTTTGACCCTGCATCCCAGTTTCCATTTTATCCAAATTGGTGCGCATGTTGAAAGAAAGATACCTGAATGGTCTATTTTTGTTGGACTGGAAGTCGCAGATCCATGCACACTTTAACAAGACAATGGCACAACCCATTGGATTTTGGAGCCTGGTTCATTTCAGACCTATATGTTTCCTTTAACATTAAAGGAGACAAACATCACCTACAGGTTCTTTATTGGCATCTGTGGTTCCATGAAGAACCTTTAACATCAATGGAAATGTTCCATTCCACAAAGGCTACTATGTAGTGGAAAATGGTTGTTTAGATTTTTTAAATGTTCTTTACACTAAGACAAAATGGTTATTTTAACCCTCTGGGCCTCTTTGGTCACTTTTGATTGAAAAATGTTACATTTAAAAAAAATTTAAATAGTAGCTTTATCGGATGGTGACTTTTGTCACATTAGCTATATGAACACAAAAAAATCATGATTCGGATATGTTAAAGAGCAGGTCATATGGTATTTTAAAGTGTCCTAATATTGTGTTGGAGTCCCCTACAACAGATTTAAATGCATCTAAGGTCAGAAAACGTTGTAATTTTTTCAGAATATACATTTAATATTAGAATCATTTGCCAATGATTTCTAAATGGTTCGTTCCAAGCAAGTTCGGATTGTTTTAACTTTTAATCAGAACACAGAACGCAATTTCACAATGATTATAAAGTCTGTGTGCTACACTACATTCTTTATTATTAAACGAAGTAATTAGAACAACGTCAGTCTACATTAATCAACACATTCTTAGGAAATAGTGGGTTCACAGCGGATTATCAGAACTATTTCAGTAAGACAGTAATATCGTGCTTTACCTGGAAACCTAAAGCTGCACTAGGTGTACATCACATATTAGCACAAAAACTTGATATTTTGAGCACTCAGTTGAAAATGTACACATAACGTATCAATCGTACTTACAGGTTGTGCTTCGGAGAGCTTGTTAGTCCAAATGAAGAAGATAGAAGAAGCCAACTAAGATAAAAGCCAAGATTAGAGAAGCAGTCCTTAGTAAAAATGAAATGCACACAACAAAAGGTTTGAATTGTATTTCTGCGGTATCTTTGAACACAGTGTCTTCTCAACATGATGTAAACACACTAACTAGCGGAAGTGTTTGTGGGCAGGTCAGCCGATAACAGGCAAAAGATTCGAAAATGTGACGACTCGTTAAGCAATCGACTCTCTCTTTTGAGAGACAATATCTATATTTATCATGCACTTTTTTGATTAACAACTTTGCAGATTGTTTTCATTTAAGGATAGCTACGTTATAAACTGCAAAAGAGATATTTTTCAAAAACCCATATGACCTGCTCTTTAATGGGAACCTTTGCGGTAAAAAATTACCGTTTATAAAATTCCCTCAGAATTATAAATAATAATAAAAAAATATATTATTGAACAAAAATATAATAGATTGATTTTCCTGAAAATAAATAAATAAATAAATACACACATACATACATACATAAAGTTACATTTCAAGACTGCAAAAGACTTGGTATTTTAGACTGCAAAAGAACCAAGTCTGACCCAAAAAATAAAGAGGCCCAGAGGTTTAAGAGCTGTTCACTGAAAGGTTATTTCAGGAAGCATAAATGGTTCTTCTATGACATTGCTGCGAAAACCCCTTTTTGGAGGCTTTATTTTTACAGTGTACAGTTTTTGTCCTTTAAAGTGCCTCAGCTAGACATCTGTTCCCGTGCTCAAGAACATCAGTGGGGTTTTCTGTTTTGATCTAGGTTGCTTCTGTCTGTACAGATTTATGTCAGTGGTCTCAGAGCAGTTGTTTCAGATTCAGATTGTGAAAACAGAATGTGATGGAAAGAGTGATCTGTTGTTTTCACCAGACAGCACTAAACACTTCCCGTGGCTCTGACACAGACTTTTACGACCCTTAATGCCTCTCCAATTCAAACTCATTCTGAGTTAACTCAATTTTCAGGGAATATTTTGTTTCTGTGGGTTGATATACAGTAGGTCTGCAAATTTACACATTGCACTGAAAAAAATTATTCATTGAATTTACTAAATTTCTTAAGGTTAGTGGTTGCAATCAATGTATTTTAGCTACATTTAAATAAACAAATTTAGTTGACTAACTTTCAACATTAAAATAAATTGTTTGCAACCACTTACCTTAAAAACATTTAGTATAATTTTTTTCAGTGTGTGTATATATGTGTGTACATGATATATTCATATATATATATGTACATGAACCGACAATTAAAATAGTGCAGACAGAATACAAGACCGTGTTTTTAGAGAGATTTGCAAACTCGATTGAATGGATTGCTGTGGCTTACGTGCAATATCATTGAAACAAAATAAACAATACATTGAGTTTTAAAGCCTTTTTGAAATATCTAATCAATTCTTTAACCCAATAATGTAATTTCTCTAAATATTCTCTGTATATTATTATTCTTCTTCCGCACTGGAAGTCTATGGTAGCCCATAGAACCGCTTGCGGGAAAGTTATGAAATTTGGCACACTGATAGAGGACAGTCTCAACATTAACCATAGCAAATTTGGAGTCTCTGACTCAAGCTCTCTATCGCCACCACTTGTCCAAATTTTCTCTCATGTTTATGCTAATAACTTTTGAACCATAAGGCACAGAAGGAAAATTCTTTTTTTTTTCATCTGAATCCTTGGCTCATGCTGAGTCAAATGAACACCAAAATTTAAAAATCGTAAGGTTTAGTTTTTTTGCTATTGTTAATAGTTCGAAAAACCTACTTTTTCGAACTCGTCCTGGACGGTTTGTCTGATTTTCGCCAAAATTGGCTCAGATCATCTTCAGACCATGCTGGCAAAAAGTAAAGGAATTCATGTTGATTCGTCAAACCGTTCTCGAATAACGCACAAATTAATTTGACGAAAAGCACGCAAAAATGGATGTGAGGCTGTATCTTTGCAACGGTTTGGCGTATTGAGATCCAAACTTGGTGTATGTTATAACAAGCCCATGCCAAAACATCCATTTGCTTTTAAGTGAAAACCTGACAGACATTTGGCAGTCGAAATGCTTTTTAAAGCCATTCGCTCAGCTTACAGACACACAGCAGTGCTGCTTTTAATCCCTGGAGGGTGTCTGGAAAGTGCTGACTCCTGCAGACCTCACATCTAGAGGAGGTGCTCTCCACAGCTCACAGGACAGTCGGGTTTTACTCCCTGAGGAATGAGAGGTACATTACCTCCTTTGCCTTTTATTACACTTTATTTTAAGCTCCAATTCTCACTATTAACTGCGACTTTTGCCTCAATAAACTCCTAATTTACTGCGTGTTAATAGTTAGTAAGGCAGCTTGGTTTCAATTAGTGCTGTCAAACGATTAATCGCAATTAATCGCATCCAAAATAAAAGTTTTTGTTTACATAATATATGTGTGTGTCCTGTGTATATTTATTATGTATATATAAATACACACACATACAGTATATATTTTGAAAATATTTACATGTATATATTTATAGTCATATAATTTATATTATATATAAATATAAACAACATATTTTTCTGAAAGATATACATGCATGTGTGTGTGTATTTATATATACATAATAAATATACACAGTACACACACATGGGTCAAAGACGTTAAGATGTCCGCATCAAAAGAAATGTACAAAAGTGATTATATGTCCATAGAAAGCACATTAAATGTAAGTAAAGTGTCTACTTTTAAGGTTTCAAATTAGTTTTTGGAGAATAAAATGTCAAAATTTGGTTGAAATAATGTTACATTGTCATTCAGTGTAACACAATATTTATGTAAAAATTCAAACAACATGCTTATTCTGAGATGTACATGTTAAAAAATATAAAAGAATAAGGGAGCATATTAAATTTGATTGTGTTTTAAATTAGTAAAAAAGTCTTACTGAAAAATGGCAAATTTTAAAAATGTAAAATTACAACTGATTAGTATTTGGGGTGAAAGTAATTAGTCTTTTAATATGTCATAAATTGATTTTTGTTGTAAATATGCCTGACAAGATTGTTACACTGAATGCCATTTTAGTGGCTCTCTTCTGTAAATCAGGGGAAAATGTATGATATTTAATTTTTGCTCGGAAAAACAAAAACAACAATACAATTAAATTAAACAGCAACAATTTAAAGCAGTATTACACTTATTTACACCCTTTTTCGTCTTTGACCCACATATATTATGTAAACAAACATTTTTATTTTGTATGCGATTAATCGCGATTAATCGTTTGACAGCACTAATTTCAATAAAAGCTGTTTTTGAACTATCAGGAAATTTTGAGTTCTGAAACTAACAGGATGTTTTTGTACTACAATAACCTCTTATAGTATGTCAAAATATCATTTTGACTTGATTTCTTAACTCACGACTCCTTTAAAAACAGAAGACTGCAACGGAATAGCTATGCATACAAATGAGATTGTTGCTCTGCAGGAAACTCTTTCGTCTTCTCCTTATCACTGATGACCTCTGTCGGTGTGTAAATAATGCAGCTGCTGCATGAAGGTGTTTTACATTCATATCAACACTGCACACATCCACAGCATCTACTCTCTCTGTGATATAGGCACACATACACATACGCTAGAGAAACTGAACCCCGTGTACCCTCTTCCTTCTGTGTGTCGCATCTGCTCCGGTTCGCTCGTGCCCTGCGGCGATGGCAGATCTTCATCAAGGTGAACGGCTGACTTAGGCCTCCTCACTCCAGTTACTGTTATTTCCTCCGAAGCTCGCTACACTCAGTGTCATCTCATTCTCAGGAATGAGTTGAGGAACTGCCCCACAAATCAAGCCAAACCGTTTTATTAGGCCAGAAAGGAAGAAATAGATTTTAGAAGGTGCTGTTTCAATCTTTATACTGTGAGACAAAGCTGCTGCTGTTTTGGACTGTATGTACAGTAATAGAATGTTGTACTGTTATAATGCGATGCCAAACTTGCCACCACAGTTTTTCAAAATATGAATCAAAGTTAAGGAAAAATAAGTGCATCTAAGATGAAGAAAATTACAAATATTTTTAAAACTAGTTTAAGGAAACTTTTTTTCGATTCTTATTAAGTGGTCAATTTTGAGATATTGGGCTATTTTGCTTTCATAACATGTCAAATTTGAGACTAGTTGGAGAAAAAAAAAGCATCCAAAATTAGGGTTGCAAAGGGGGGTGGAAAAAATTCCGGTAAATTTCCGGAAACTTTCCAAAAATCCCTGGAATATTCCAAAAAAATCCTGGAAATTTTCCACCTTTTTGCAACCCTATCCAAAATACACATTTAAGTGTTTATTTTATTACGCTTGATTGATTAGCATCTATAGATTTCAATTACAATTCTGAGTTTTTTCTCATTGACTGAGCCGTAAATCTTAAGAGATTTCAGTTGCACATTCATACACCAAACTATCCAGCTTTATTTCTGTCTATATTCTGCAGGTTTTTCAGAGGGGTTTGTTAATATGTAATTCACCCTGATATATTTACCATTTTATTCCTAACACTTTTAACAATAATTTTTAACCTGGCTTTATCCAATGTTCTGATTTCTGTTCTGGAAATGTATGCAAATTCATGAATACTTACTAAGATGAAGAAAATTACAAATATTTTTAAAACTAGTTTAAGGCAACTTTTTTTTCTATTCTTATTAAGTGGTCAATTTTGAGATATTGGGCTATTTTGCTTTCATAACATGTCAAATTTGAGACTAGTTGGAGAAAAAAAAAGCATCCAAAATTAGGGTTGCAAAGGGGGGTGGAAAAAATTCCGGTAAATTTCCGGAAACTTTCCAAAAATCCCTGGAATATTCCAAAAAAATCCTGGAAATTTTCCACCTTTTTGCAACCCTATCCAAAATACACATTTAAGTGTTTATTTTATTACGCTTGATTGATTAGCATCTATAGATTTCAATTACAATTCTGAGTTTTTTCTCATTGACTGAGCCGTAAATCTTAAGAGATTTCAGTTGCACATTCATACACCAAACTATCCAGCTTTATTTCTGTCTATATTCTGCAGGTTTTTCAGAGGGGTTTGTTAATATGTAATTCACCCTGATATATTTACCATTTTATTCCTAACACTTTTAACAATAATTTTTAACCTGGCTTTATCCAATGTTCTGATTTCTGTTCTGGAAATGTATGCAAATTCATGAATACTTAATTAGACAATTAAACATTTGAATATTTTTAAACATACCATTTCAGAAAACTTGTAATACAAAACAGTTGCCTCATAATGTACTTTGATTAATCAACAGGAGAAAATATGTTGATATTAAAAATATTTACTCTTTAGCATGTGCCAAATTATTGTACTCTTTTGAAAAACTTTTATACCATTTTCAACGAGTTTAATGTGTAACTTACCAAATTAGATTTAATTTTTGTTACAAAAATCACCATGTTATTAAAAGGTCAATTTATGTGATATGTTAAGACACTTATAAGTTATCGCAGTTCTAAACCCTGCTTTTAACCCCGGGTGAAGAAATGTTTCACACTTGTAATTTAGAAGCAGGGTTAGGACCGCTTTTTACCCGGGGTTATGAAACCAGAGTGTTTGCTGTGTTAAATTTGTGACGTGTGAAACAATGCTGTGTTAGAATATTGCGGCTGGATGCTAATTATATTATAATACATGCTTTGCAGTTGACATTGCCAGTGACTGCTTGTTTTGTCTTTTGAAGCCTCTTAAAAGCATGAAATTGAATTATGCTTATGACTCAAGTTAGATCAAAACAGCTAGAGAAGGACTGGGACTGTGCACATTGTTCGGTGTTGTCAGTGTGTCGTTTAATTAGTTACACAGCTGAGGTGATTGCCTCAAAAAAAAAAAAAAAAAAAAACAAAGGACAGAAATCTAAGTGCTAGAAAACAAGATGGCATCATGCATGTCACATACTTCCAGTCCTGCTCCAACGGAGCAAATGCCATTGAGATGAATGGCAATGCTAAAGAATAGCTTTCTCCAGATATTATATACCTTGCATCCATTGATTTCATGATGTAGTAGTATGTCCCATGTTTTCAGCAGTGAGTACTTTCCCATCACCAGCAAAACAAATGCTTGGTAGTATGCAAATAGGGATGCAATTAGCATGAGACCATCAATCTCTGGCATTAGCATCAGTGTAATCACTTTCGTTTAAAGCAAATGCATCTTTTTTATTTGCTTATATTTGTGTTCATATCTTGTGTACAGTATATGGTTTTATTTAGCATTTATCTCTTTGCAGGTCACGCTCACCTGACAGATTTTAACATCGCTGCTATTGTGAAGGAGGACTTAAAAGCCACATCTATTGCAGGGACAAAACCATACATGGGTGAGAGCTTTCGTACTTCTATTTAACACTGCTTTATTTGTGCGATTTAACACAACGTCAGTCAAAGGTTCCTTATATTTTTTACTCTGTCATTAACAATTGTACAGTTATGTTAAATTCACAGGTAAGACGTTTTCACAGTTGAAACGAAACCTTATTAGAAGTCAGTGAACCATCAAAAAGATTTTGAAACTCATATTTCAAGGTAAAAAAAAAATACAGACGGTTGCTTTAATGCTGCATTCACAGCATATTGTAATTTGTCGAAATGCAAAATGTTGCTTATCTCAATACATTCAGTTATGAATTACATGAATAATGTAAATGATAGCATATTTTCTATTTAAAACAAGAACATTTGAGGAAAAATAGTTGAGTAGGTTGCATTACTAGATATTAGTTTTAAATTATTAAATATTTAGCAGCTTCTTACCTTGTTCTCTTGCACCGTTAAAACTGAAGCATCGCATTGGAATCCACACTCTGCTTCTGTGGAGATTTAAATGAAATATTGAATTACGAACTACAGTTAAAATTATAATCAAGTACTTTACATGCTAATGTTTTTAAACATGTATGAATATCATTACTGATATATAACAGTATTGATATAATTTGTTGAATTGGCATTCATTTTATTGGAGTAAAAATGCTGGAAACATATAATCTGCTGTTGTCTTGTCTGTTGTTGCAGCCCCAGAACTATTCCAGTCGTTCGAGGGAACACGCCCGGGTTACTCTTTCGCAGTGGACTGGTGGTCTTTAGGGATCACTGCGTATGAGCTTCTCCGTGGACAGGTGAGGGTCTCTCAACCATCTGATCTGAGATCAGTATTAGCGCAAGAACCAATTCAGAACATGGTGAGCCATATTAGCTAGCGTAAGTTAGGGGTAGGCGATATGACCAAGATCTTATTTCACGGTATGAGAAATTTTATTTCACGATAACGATATATATTTCTCGATATAGCTTTTTTTTTGTTATTAAAAATAAGAAAAAGAAGCAAATTACAAACACAATAGCACAAATAAATATAAAATAAACTTTTAATTTATTCAGCTACAGTAGGCTACAGTAGCTTTATTTAAAATGTAGTAAGAAATTTTACAGAAATTGAATGAAGTGTATAAATAAAACACTGCATAGTCTTCACTGTATCAATCAAACATGAACTGATTCTGATTAAAGATCCAAAAGTGATTCAGTCAAGTGCAGGGAGTGATTAACATTAATGACACAGACAGCAGCAGGTAAATTAGACTGCTGTCCCTTTAAGACCAACTGCACGGATCCAATATACTGATACACATCCGGTTTTTACATTTATTTAACACATAACCGACTGTGTTTACGCAAATACTCCACACAACGGGCATTTTGACATAATTGTGTGCGTATTTGACCATTCAAGCACGAAAGAGATCTGTTTTTGCGATCACATGCTGTCTGAGAGGTGCTTTCAGTGCGCGCACTTCTGCTGTGTGTCAGTTTTCACTGCTTATTGCGCTTAATAACTATCAAGTGCGTCCCACTCTTTATTTTCTCATTCATGCATGTTTCCTTGTCACTTCAAGGTGTATATAACTTTTACGTACGCAGATATATTTGCATACCGCGGAGATAGCAAAATCTCTAACGATAGACACTTTATTCCGCGGTAACGATACCGTCATACTGCCCAGCCCTAGCGTAAATCCTACTAATCCTGCTCATGATCTGCTGAGAATCAAACTGAACAAGAAATAGATGTTTCATTGACTGTCGGCTTTACCTCTGTAGAGGCCGTACATCATGCGCGCCAACACACCAGCCAATGAGATACTGCAGACTTTCCACAAAGCGCACCCCTGTTACACCGCCGCCTGGTCTACAGGGATCAAATCACTCTTACCAAAGGTAACATTAATCACACAAACAGCACTGTAGTCATGCTTTATTTATTTGATAATTACAGTCATGTTTAGGATCAGTCATGATCTAGTGGCGTATGAAACATGCAGTGTGTTTGATTCTGTTGTCAGCTGTTGTGTGTAGACGCTCAGAAGAGGATTTCCAGTCTCTCGGAGCTCCAGGACCTGGAATACCTCTCTGATGTCAATTGGGATGCTGTGCTTAACAAACAAATCCCACCTGGATTCCTCCCTGATGTAAGTATATTAGACACACACACACTGCGAATAAAGAGAAATGCACATATTCCATATGAATGATTTGAACTGAGATATGCTTTAAAGGGACAGTTCACCTAAAAATGAACATTGTCATCATTTACTCACTCTAATCTTGTTCCAAACCTGTATGAGTTTCCTTCTTCCATTGAACACAAAAAAGATATTTTGAAGAATGTTGAGAAATTTTTAAATGCAATCTTTGTGTTGTTTGATCTTAATAAATGTCAATCTTGTATATATTCATTTAATTAATAAAACTTTTTTTTTTAATTCTACACTGTTCACTACAGATCGTATAAATTTACAGTATAATAACAGCAGTAAGTCTTTATAAAAAAAATTAAATATCAAAAATTCAGGTGTTCACAATAATAAAGACATTCATAAAACCACAACGATTGAGGGTTTTCACAATGTTCTGCTTACAGAGTTGCAGGTTCAGCTGGTTTAATTTGCGCTATGCTTGGCAAACCTCGTGCAGATTTATGATGATTGGTCTGGACTGAAGAGGTTTCATGCAGTGAATCTTGGGAGCAAAGTGTCCATCAGTTAAACTCTACAAAAACATACATTTAAGAAGCCTTTTTTAAATGTTGTTCTGAACATTTCTGTTTGGTTGTGGTGATCGTTCTCAATTCAGAGTGACCATAAGCATTATTTATGCCATTTGGAAAGCACTGTAAAAATGATAAATTCCAAAACTGGCTGAGATCTGAGAAAAGCTCTGGCACTATTTTAGCCACTTACCTAAATATTCTGCAATCTGTGCATATCTAATGTGATGACATGTAGACATTTTGAAGTGTGATGTCAGTGTCTGAACTCTTTTTAGGGCCGCTGTACTGTATAAGACAACTACTGAATGTACCAACAACCATTTATGGTAAACTAAAATTTGCTTTAATGTCATTTTATATTTATTTGTAATTACACATTTGTAATGATAAAGCTGCAATTTTAGAACATTTAAAATATATTCATTTTAAATGTAATATCAAAAAACACACTAAAGTGCTTTTGTTTTTCATTTTGTACAGTTCTTTGAGGTCCACTTATAACGTTATCAAGATTTTTACATCAAAAAACATCATAATTTAGATGTAGAAGCTATTTAATGTCCTGTTTTTAACCCCCCTTATCAGAACGTGAACACTGTAAACATGCAAACGATGCAAACACTGTTTTAACTTGGCACTGCACAGCATCTTGTTGTCTTCGGAGTATCTTTATTGATTGGTTTCTGCGTAGACCTGCGCTTTCGCCTCTCTCGTAAACACTGAAGCCCTATTCGGACGGGACTAACATCTCCGTGTTTATTACAGAGGTGGGAGGGTCTGTTTTGTATATCTGGGCATTGCAGAGATCACGCGTTCTGCATGCGTGCTATGCGTATAGTAATTCGGATTAATTACCATAGTATAACCACAGTTTTACTACAAATATGGTGAAGCTATATGGCTAGTAGAGCAAAACCATGGTTAATGTGTGGTTACTTTAGTTAAACTATTTTATGTTTTTATTTATTTGTAGTAAAACCATGTTTAATTTTTCTTAAAGGTACATATGTAATTAAAACATTATGTCATTGAGTGCAGAATTGAACGTGAGTAATCTTACATGATGCTGATATTACAGTAGCCAGTCTTAACAGTTTACTTGATTTGGCTCTTGATTTTATAAAAAAAAATTTTATTTCTTTTCCGGGAGGCAAACATTTAAAAAATGTGCGGTAAGAGTGTCTATGGTAGTTCACGTTGGCCAAAACACACAAGGAAACGGGTTGTGAAAAAATCTCGTCTGCAATCACAGACGTTCGCATTCGGACGGGATTTAGTTTTCTCAGAGCATCACTTTTTTTTTTTTTGTTTTAGAGTTTGCCATAAAACAGTAGATAATTTGCTCTGGAATTATTACAGAGGTTGTGTGAGAAAAACACAGATGTGGCAGATTCGGATGGGTTTAAAATTGGAAAGTACATCTGTGAAACACAAATTTCTCTAACGACCCCCTGTAAAACTAGTCGTGTCCAAATAGAGCTTATGCGCGAATTGATGGGCGGGGCTAAACAGGCAGTGCTGTAGAATCGGTGGGCGGGGCTATACAGGCAATGCTGTAGAATCAGTGGGCGGGGCTAAACAGGCAGTGCTGTAGAATCGGTGGGTGGGGCTAAACAGACAATGATGTCAAAGCACGTTGATCTTCTTCTGCAGTGGCGGTGTTTATCCACACTATTACATCATAGAGTAGAACATTCCACAAGCTGTTGTTTTGGCAGACTGCCTTCAATATAAGCTGTTTTTAGACTAACAAGAAAGTTTTGAGTTCCGAAACTTACAGGATATTTTTATAGTACAATGGCAATTTTATAGTGCAATGTGAAAAGATGTTGGTTTCTCAGATCATGACCCCTTTAATGTGTTAGCCGACACAAAAATAAGTGTAGAATTAGAAACGTCATTTAAAATGTATAAAGTTAAAAATTACAGTGCACTTTTTAAAAGTGTATTAAAATTGTCATGAAAGTGTACTGTCTTTATATACACTTAAATAACTACGTTAATATTACATTATCTGCAAGTACAGTTTAAAAAAACAATACTTTTAAGATTTGCAGTACACTATAAATGCACATTCACTAGAATTAATCGTCCTTTTTCACAAGGGTGTAACTGTAGTACGGAAATAGTACTTGCCAATAAATGTTCAATTGTTCATGGGCACATTGTACAGTACATAAATGAGTGTTTGTGTGATGGCAGAGGCGGCGACTAAACTGCGACCCCACATTTGAGCTGGAGGAGATGATCCTGGAATCCAAACCACTGCACAAGAAGAAGAAGAGGCTGGCGAGGAAGACGAGGGAGAGCGGCTCTGATGGATCTCCTCAGGTAGCATCTCACTGTCATTACTTAAGAACATAACGGTCACGCCACAGTCTTTGTTTAAAAAAATAAAATAAAATTGTTATGCAATAAGACATAAAACAATTGAAGTCCTGTTTATTACATTACCATGTTTCCCTTGAGTTTTTCTGCAATGGCTCTCTTCTTTGTTTGTCAGTATGAGTCATTTCTCTGAAGGATTTGTTCAATGGGAGATCAGAATCGTTGACCTTTAGAAACATTAACTTGTTCGTTTTTGCACAATGATTTAATTACTCACTGATCTTTTGTTTAGTTTTTTTGATTAAGAAGATACATTATACAGAATTTTAACTGTAGAGAATGATTCAATATTGCATTTAATGTGAAAATTTAACATTTATTAAATTGTAATGTCATTTCAAATGTGTAATTACAAATATATTTAAATATGTGTCAATAGAAATAGAAATTATTAGTGCATATTTCAAATTACCATAAATCCATGTCAGTACATTCAGCAGTACACTTATAATAGAAAAATTATGAAATTACTTATAAAGATGTATTTAAGTGGGTTAAAGGGGATAGTTCACCCAAAAATGGAAATTGACATAAATTATTCACCCTCATCTTGTTCCAAACCTGTATGAGTCTTTTTTTTCTCCCCCCGTTGAACAGTTTCCAAACAGTTTCTGGTAGCCATTGATTTCCATAATATTTTTTTTTTTTTTTTTTAATCAAAATTCTTCAAAATATATTTTCTTGTTCCAACCCCAATTCCAGAGAAGTTGGGACGTTTTGTAAAAATGCAATAAAATCAAGAATCTGTGATTTGTTCATTCTCTTTAACTTTTATTTTAATTGACAAAAGTACAAAGAAAAGATTTCCGAAGTTTTCACTGACCAACGTAAATGTATTTTGTAAATATGAACAAATGTTGTTTTTGACGGCTGCAACACATTCCAAAAAAGTTGGGACAGTGGCAAAATAAAAGTGAAAAGGTTAAAGAATATCCACAGAAAGCAGGTGAATTGGTAATAGGTGAGGGGATCATGTTTGGGTATAAAAGGAGCATCTCAGTCTTTGCAAGCAAAGCTGTATCATGGCTCATCACTTTGTGCCAAATTTCATGAGAGAAGTGTCAAACAAATCAAAAATCACATTCCGCAATGCAAAATTGCAAAGCATTTAGGTCTTTCACCAACTACCACATGTAATGTTGTGAAAAGATTCAGGGAATCCAGAGAAATCACAGTGCACGTAGGGCAAGGCAGGAAAGCTCAGGTGAATATGCTTGACCTTTGAGCCCTCAGATGGCATTGCATAAGAAACCGTCATGCTGCGGTGTTAAATATAGCCACATGGGCTCAGGAGTACTACTGAAAACTGCTGTCACTTAACACAGTCTGCTGCTGCATCAAGAAATGCAACTTGAAACTCTGTTACTCTAGAAGAAAGTATTATATGCATTATATGCAGTGATGCCGCTGGGTTCTCTGGGCCAGAGCTCATCTCAGATAGTCAAAAACACAGTGGAAAGGTGTGCTGTACTCAGATGAGTCCACATTTCAACTTGTTTCTGGGAAAAATGGATTTCGAGTTCTCAGTCCCAAAGACCAAAGGGACCATCCAGACTTTCATCAGTGACTGCTGAGCATCTGAAGCCTTGTTTCAAGAGACTGGACAAAAAAAAATTGCTTGCAAAGCTTTAGCAATCAGTATCCTTAATTCCCAAACAATGAAACATTGTAATTAAAAGGAAAGTTGATGTGACACAGTGTTAAACGTGCCACTGTCCCAACTTTTTTGGAGTGTGTCGCAGCCATCAAAATCAAAATTTGTTCATATTTACAAAATACATTTATGTTGGTCAGTGAGCTTTTAACAATTAGTATCCTCAATTCCTAAACAATGAAACATTGTAATTAAAAGGAAGGTTGATGTGACAGTGTTAAACATGCCTACTGTCCCAACTTTTTTGGAGTGTGTCGCAGCCATCAAAATCAAAATTTGTTCATATTTACAAAATACATTTAAGTTAGTCTGTGAAAACAATAGAAACCTTTTCTTTGAAATTGTGTATGTTAATTAAAGGTTAAAGAGAATTAACAAATCACAGATTCTAGTTTTTATTGCATTTTACAATATGTCCCAACTTTTCTGGAAATCTGATTGTAAATCACATAAATGATAGCATATTTTCAATTAAAAACAGCTAAATGTAAGGGGAAAAAAGAGTACTATTGTCAGTCCTTTAACATTTCTACTGTAAAACTGTGGTGAAATATTAAAGGTATGTTTAGCTACATCTTACCTCACACTTTCACCATTAAAACTGTAGTGCTGTGCTGGAATTTGCGATTGGCTCCCGTAAACAGTAACATCTGCCGTCTTTGATTTGGGTGACCATCTAAATAATTTTGACATTGACGAGCACTGTTTGACTGCTAAGGCAGACCAGTCTAAAGATGTAACTTTTAAAACTTTTTGTCATCCTAACAACAATCAGAGTGCTGAGTAATGTGCAGCAAAGCAGAATCAGAAATATCAATAATTTGGCCATTTCTAAGTATTGTCACATTGAATGTCTGGCGGTTATGGCCCTGGTGCAATAGCCAAACAGGGTAAATTATATGAAGATATAATAATCAAAGCAAAGTCAAAAGGTGCTCATTGTTTATAGTGATATGATGCATTGATCATATTTATAATACCTAAATTGGCATTAGCATCTTTGGAAATCTTTTCTTTGTACTTTTGTTAAAGAGAATTAAGAGAATTAAAGAGAATGAACAAATCACAGATTCTTGATTTTATTGCATTTTTACAAAACATCCCAACTTCTCTGGAATTGGGGTTGTAATTTCCATTTAGTGTTAGTTATTCCGTCTAATGTTTATATTTGATTTTATTTATCTGATTTCACGTGGCCATGTGTTTCTCTCTGTACTCTGGAATTGGGGTTGTAAATTAAAAAAAAAAAAAACTCAAAACAGGTTTGGAACAACTGATTAAATTATGACAATTTTACTTTTTGGGTGAAATGTCTCTGAGTTCAACTAACTGCATTTAATATAAATTAATAATAAATTATTAATTTAATATAAATAATATAATAATTTAATATAAATATAATAAGTTTCCATTTAATTGTAAATAACATGCAATTAAGTGTCAGAGAACATTCCATTCCATTCACACTTATTTTTCTTAAAGTATAGTTTTTCTATAATAATATACTGTTTTTAAAAGTATGCTAAAGAGTACTTCACAGAATGAAAGAAAGAATATAGGAGCTGGAGCTAGTGTTGTACGTGCACATTTTCTGAAGCAGTGAAGATCAATAAAGTATGACCAGTCCTGCCCTATACAGTATCTGCTCCTGACTCGGTTTCTCAGTTCTCTCCTCCCACTGACGTTTGTAATGTATGGAGAGATGAGCTCAATCCAATCACAGATAAATGCAGTGGAAAATTGAACTCTTGATGTGAGAACAAAATAAAGAGAAGCATCCCACGGTGACTGCCTCCCTTCCTAGAGTTCACTCGCTGTTCAGAGGAATATTTCCCCTGTTTCTTCAGTCTGTGCTTCAGTACTGATTATTAGGAATGTCACAGTTACAACTAGTCGTCCGTCACGTCATACAGTGCGCGAGAGAGCCGCTCTGCTGCACAAATGCGCATCTACCGTGTGTTGCGTGATTTCATGTTGGGTTACGGTAACTTACAGTGACGGAGAAATGAGCTGTGTGTCATCTGAAAGTTTTAGATCAAGAGACAGATTTACTAAACAGGGCAGATTAGCATTAGAGCGCAATTCCATAAAAGCACCGATGGAAGGGGAAAATCCTGCGTGTGATTTATTGACAATGCGCACATTAAAGCACACCAACGCAACATCTCATTTCCATAATGACCAGCGCAATTTACCAAGAGCAGCGCAAATTACCGCCTGCTTTAAGACTAGGTTTTAAATAATGGCGCAAATACTAGAAAATTGACAAGCGCAAACGTTAGTAAATCACGTTGTGTCTGAAAGGGAAACGCCTACAAATGTATTTTTAGTATTTCACAGTATTGAAATGTCTGAGTATTTCACAAAGCATTTTAGCACTAAAACTAGCTCCTAAATCTGTGAAACGTTAGGAGTAGTGAAGAGTCACTAAAACTAATCACAAACGATCCTAAAATAGCTGTTGCTGGCAATCTGCATCGGAACGTAAACATTTTAGAAACATTTGACGATAATGTGCTTTTAAAAAGGTATTGCCTTTGGTTTTGGAGGTTATCCCAACTCCAAACTTTCCTTTGATTGTATCCTTGTTTTCATTAACCAGTTGGGCAAGAAGTAAAAGCTGTTCTTGCGTCCAGTTTGGTTTTCGTTTACGTTTGCATGTCTTACTATCAGCCATAATTATTCTACTCTGTTAATTAAAAGGCTGTTTATATGCATATTCACTCTTTTTTTTTTTTTTTTTACGAGAAGCATACAGGCTGACAATTACCTGAACATATACATATATATTATATTGTTTAATTAGTGACACTTAGCCTGCATTTTTAAACCTTTATTTGAATATGGCAACATAATATCGCGCTCTACAATACTTCTATGAATGAATCTCTGAAAGAGACTATCAGCCAATCACTGTGTGCATAGTTAATAAGCATGCTGACATCATCCATAGCAACAAGGTCAACTCCGCCCCTTTACTCGTAGCTTAAGACTTCTCTCTATTCTTCAGTAAAAGTTTGTCTCAGCAGCTTTGTGAATAGGTTTTAAGAGAAACTCTTAGCTAAAAACTTTTACTACTATTTAGGAGTGGTAAGATAAAATGTTTTGTGAATACGGGCCCAAGCCCCTAGTCCACTCCCGTCAGTTTGGTGTTCTGCGCGCGACTCAAATGCTCCGCTCCCCACCCAAATATTACTACTGTCTGTTAATGAAGATTTGACGGATGAACTCACGATTGGACTCTTGTTGTGTCAGAAAGTGATAAGACTTTCAGTTTTATGGACGTCACCATCTTTGATTTTACTTTTGGTCACTGTTGCTATGGTTACTGGTAAGGAATACGGGCTTGACTCCTGTTGCATACAGACAGCATTCGAGACGCTACTGTAAGCTGCTATGTGAACAGGACATTTCGAGACTCACAGCTGTAAGTAAATGCAGTTGTCAATCCCAAAAGCTAACAGTGTGAACGTAGCCACCGATTCTCTAAAACTAATGTCAAAGCGCAGTGCTTAAAATGTTGGTTCACCGAAAATGGAAAAAAAAAAGTTTTTCTTTCTTCTGCGGAACAAGACATAATGTGTGTTCAGCAGCTTGTGACTGGATTTCAAAGAGCTTTTTATTGGATGGAATGTGAAGGAGGTCTCTGCTGGATTGTAGCATGCTAAGCATCAGTCACGCTTATACTCGAGGAAATCCGTGCACTGGTGGAGTTGCGTTGCTGGGTTTCTGGAGTAAGCACTAAACACTCAAATCAAACCCAAACTCATGACTGCACACATTTACACCGGCAGCAGCTCTTGTCGTTTTGCTTTGCAGTACACATTTTGTGTTATATTAGAGCCCTCTAACACTCAATACATGCTAGTCTCTAGCAGACAGACTTTTAACTATCAGCTTAAATCTGGTGCACATTGCAGCTTATCCTGGCCAAAACCATCCACTTCGAAGGATCTGGATGAGCAATCATAGTTGTTTTTTCTTGGTCATGTTTGGTGCAAGTAATTATTAAATAATGAAATTGCAGCCTGTTTTACTGCAGGTTTACATATGATGCTTAGTGTTTGTGTTAGCTGTAAAATCTGATGTAAAACGAGGAATACAGAATCTTATGTTTACTATTCAATTCAAGTCAAGTCAAAACAAGTCACTTAATTTATAGCGCTTTATACAATACAGATTGTTTCAAAGCAGCTTCACAGTATTAAACACAAAGAGCAATTGCTGACCAATAAAATATTTTAGAGCTTGACACTGCTAGAATTAATTCGTATTCATTCTAGAAATTCACATCAGTTTTTAATGTCTGGAAATCATACTTTTATAATTTCTTCATATACAGTAACCAGGTTTGCCAAGACCAAATAACAATTGTTAAAGTAATACATTTAAAATTAACTAAATAAATGTAATTTGTTTAGCTTATTTTTAAACTTGTTTTGCATTATTTTAAAAGCTTTCAGCCATGTTGTGCCCCCTTAGAAGTGTGCTTAAAAAAAAAAAGTCACTAATTTGACAATAAATAATTTCTTGCACATAAAAATATCATTTTATAGACTGTAAAAAAATCCATAACAATAGGGCACAATGTACTGTGTTAATATGAATGATTTTTTTACTGGTGTTTTACCTATATTTTGAAATATGCACTTCATTGCTTTGTGTTTTAGGGTTAATGCAGATGTCCGTACAATACAACAAAAATGAAATAAAATCCATTGGAATTGCTGAATACCTGCATACATTGCATACATTGTATATTGGTCTGTGCTAAACAAACTTTTCATGAAATATGAAAAAGCTAGGTTAAAAACCAAGACATTTCTTATCTTTGTTTAATTTTAAAAAAGGCTGTCATGGTTTTGAGAAAATCCTGGTAACAGTAATTTTAAAAGTAATGGAACATGGAAAATTAATGTCAATTTCTAGAATGAATATGAATTTATTCTAGTTGTGTCAAGCTCTATTTGTCAGAAACTACTATTTGAGGACAAACGCTAAATCGAACGAATGACATGTGCTGGTTATAAAAGCCCTGAAATACATTCAGTTCTTGAAAGCCTGGTATTATGGAATTATTTTAACGTTCATAGTTATATTTCCGTCATGACAACTCTCGGAGAGATTAGCATGGTAATATAGCTACAGGAGTGTGGCACTGTGCATCTGAAATCACCACGCTAATGAAAACATCAACCTTGAAAACAAATCAACGCGCCATTGAGGTTAAACAGCTAAATATGGCGAACCCATGTTGAAAATGTATACAGCGCAAATTAGTATTTCACTTTAACCCGTTTTGATATAGCTCAGTCGGCGGACCTCACAGCAATTACATACAACAATTAGTTTAAAACTGGTTCATGATTACTCTTAAAAATTAACAAGGCAGACCACGCAATATGCTCCCTGATATGGAGTAAAACAGCGTCCACTTATCTTATAGAAGCTGATTTCAGATGCTTTCTGATGCGCGCTCACGCTGCAACTTCAATAATCGCTGGCAAAGTATTTGAATGTTGAGCAGCAACCTCATTGGCTGCTGATGCGACCAATCAGTTGCGCCGTGTAAATAACTACGTGATTACTAACAGATAAAGGACCTATCAGCCTGCGCCATCTAGAGTTTCATAACAGAACTTTGTATTTATTCTTTTTTATTTATTTTAACACATACTTTATTTAAAAATTTATATTTACACTTTATTTTAATATATTTTAATTCCAAGTTTGCTGAGGGAGATGCTGTCACAAATGTAATGGTCCTTTTATCTAAATGAATTAAACAAAGAATTTAAAGAGAATAAAGCAAGAAAGATAATAACTTGAATATATGGTGAAGTAATGCATTTGAACCAAATCGAAAATAATATTTTTATTTCAAAATATTCACATTGACTCTTAATCGCCTAAACAGCTCTATTAATGTTTCTTGTCTCTCACATTCAATTTACGAATAACATTAGATTAATTACATAAATGATATAGTGTATTTTCAATTCGTAAACGCAGTTGTAAGATGTTAAACGTTTAGCTATATTTTACCTCACACTCTTTTCAGTCATTTTGACATTGACGAGCACTGTTAGATCACCGAAGCAGAAAAAAAATTAATGTAAAAAAATTAAAAAGTTGGCCATATTCCATATGCCATATAATGCTGGTTACGACCCTGCTTCACGAGCCATTCACTTAGTAGTATTTCATGTGCAACATTATAACTCATTCTGTTCATTTGATCACACAGAATGGACAACTCCAGCAGCGCTTAGAGACTGTCCAAAGAGATTTCATCGTCTTCAACAGGGAGAAGTAAGAAATATTTTGACAATTTGTCATGTCCACTTTCATGCAGTGTAAAGTAAATATAGTTTCGATGGTTTTAGTAGTAGTAGTAGTAGTAGTAATAGTAGTAAATAGCCTAACACAGTAGTTAATTTACTCAAAATGCAGTTTTATATGAAACACTTGATTAAAACATTAAATTGCAGGAAATGAATGAATATTCTCGTTTTAAAGGAACGCATAAGAGAAGTAAAAAGGCACTGTTAAAATGTTTTGTCATGTTTTATTTTCATATTTTCTGTTTTTATTTTCACTTCAGGGAAACTTTTAGTAATTTTGTTGTGTTTCTGTGATTTTTATTAGAATTTGTTCTCTATATATTAATATTAATTTCAATTTTTCAGTAGCTCAGTAGTTACTTTAGCACATTACCTTAGCTAAATGTAAATGAGAAATGTTGCTTGGCAACTGAATATTTTATTTCAGTTAACATTTATTTCAAGTAGCAATTTTTTTTTTTCAGTTTACTGCAATAACCTCGCCTTAAGGTAACAACTGCAGATTCGACTAGATATGTTGTCCTTTCTCTGTTTTGGAGGTTGAGGAAAACCAAAGCAGACACTGAGACAAACAACCTCAATGCAGAAGAGACGAACAAAGCCATTCAAGATGGACAGAACAACAACGTAGAGCACTGTTTATCAGGCTAACATCTGGACCCGCCACAGCGTTCCTCCTTCTCTCGACGCTAACGGCGAACAGCCCTGGACCCCAGCAAACGCATGAGAAAATCCACGGGAAGATCACGGATTCTGGATGGAAGCATCAACCTGGTGTGACCCTCGTGCTCTGCATTAACCGGCCTGACTACACAATCACACACATAGAGAAAGAACTGGACGATGATGCTCTCTGCACCTGGCTGTGAAATGTGTGCCTTACTATTTAATGGATTTCTCTAATGTGTTTGGAGGCACGTGAAGATTCACCGCTGTCTGATTCAGCGAGTGATCGGACTCCAGCCCTTCACCGTGATTTATAAAGCTGCGCTTCTTAACATACAAATGCAGAGAACAGAATGTTCTCAGAATGAGAAGGTACTCACTTCACCTCATTATGCCGCTGTGATTCATTCAAATGATGCAACTGTGAACCTTACGGAGCTGCAGAAAACTGTCATTCATGCCACTGAGAGCATTATGTGGCCTTTCTGCTTCTTTAGCGTTTCTGGAGATTCATTGCTGGATCACACTGTGCCGCTGAATAAGATATGGTCCAATCATAATAAAATCATTTAATAGCATCATCTGACAAGTCTAAGGTTTGCACAGCCTAGGATTATTCACACAATGTCTGGCTCATTTATTTAAAAAATAATAATAATAAAAAATAAATCGGGCCTCTTCTCTTAATATGAAGTGTGAAAATTTTACCTGTATTTTAAATTACACATTGCATTGTGTTTTAGAGTTAAAGAAAAATGCTCATAAACTAAATGATAATGTCCTGGCAGAAATGTACCACTATTTTTTCCGAACCTCTTTATTTTACAGTGGAGTTTGGTAAAAAATAATACAACGACTCGATATCGCCATCTAGTGGTCAGGTGAATATTAACTATTACTGATAATCTACCCACAATGCTGTTGAACAACAACAGCAATTCTGAGGAATATTAAAAATGTCAAGTTTTAGCCATATATATATATATATATACACATCATCAAGTTAGATATAAAGTCACCTGCTTTATATATTATTATTATTATTACTGTTATGGAATATGCAGCTAATTGGACTTGATAGCCTAACAGAACCATTAGCAATTTTTTCCAAAACTATGTATTATTATACAAATACAAAATGTGACTTTTCTCATTTATTTCGGGGGGTTTGAGAGCTGCATGAAAACCCTGTTATGCAGTCGCTTTTCAGTGAGAATAATATCAAGAGAATTTTCCCTTTTCCCTCATTGACCTGAGGTTGGATCTTGTGTGTGTAATATGTGTTTTATGTGAAAACGTGTGTAATGTATGTTCTAGTAGTTCTGATTTGAGTTGATGAATATAAAGAGCGGCTGAGAAATCATTCACAGGCAGTCAGTTGTAATGTCTGTTTATTGAGGAGCAAATTTTGCACATCACACGTTCATTTCCACCTGCTTTTTTTGACTCGGATGTTAACAAAAAGAAAGGTAATACAATCAAACCTACATCAATATAATAAACAACCTATTCCACATCATTCGGTAAATCACTTTAGCCATTGTTATTTGGTGCATCTAACATACAGTATGCTGAACTGTCTTTTTCCATTAAATGAGAGCTTCGAATTCACATGAACGATTCAGATATCCAAAAATTATTCCAATACTTTGCGTGATTTAAGAAAAGACATTGTAGCACCTGTTAATCATCTTTCAATAATAACTGATGAATGCAAAAGGAGAAATATCTTTCTCCTGCAGGCTTTGTTTTCATCATTCATTTTCCCAAGAAATTGTTCATTTTTCCTTTTTTGAGATTCAGCTATTCCTTCACATGACGGATGCATAATGTTTTTCGTATCTTCAGAGAGACGGATAATGAACGCAGTACAGTATGTGAATATATGTAACTGTCCTGTAATAATATCACTGCATGTTCTTCCTTAACATTCACCTTTATTATACTTAAAAAAAAACTGCTCAACACTTTAACTTCATTTACAAAGTAACGTTAACTATCATAATCACAGCTGATGCACGCAAATAAAGCTTATGAGGGAATACAGACGAAGCTCTATGAAACACACGACAGTAGTCCTTCCTTACCGAACGCAAGCGCCTGGAAAGTTCCTTTCATAAACATCGCAGACCATCCAAACGAGAGTTGTATTTACGGTAATTCTAATGTCTTCTAATTCAGTTTCTCTAAACACACAAATGAACGTGACGCTACACTAAATGCTTTGCTTTCTCAGAGGAGGACTACTGATCTTCAGTCACTCATCAGGAGGAAATCATGGAGGGTAAGGCATGAGTTCAGTGTTTTACGTTTCTTTTGTTTCGTTTCCTGACTAATCACCTTACTTCTACACAGCTGATTTGATCCTGGCCTCTGTCTTACATGCTCTTTATATTTAACTGAGGGAGGTGATATTGGAGCGGCCACCGGGGGGCACAACGATGCGTCTTCCAGCCGGTCTGATGGGGGCTTCTTCAGGACCTACAGAGAAACACCGAGATATAAAAACAGTCTTCATTAACGCACTAGAAGCCTTTAACCAAACCCACCAGCGAATCCCAGTTGTACAACCTTTGATGCGTAGCAAAACCATTTGTTTTGTGGAAAAAAGACTGTACTTTAATGACTTTAATGAGGGAAAGAACTACAATCCCATGAACGAGTGTGAGCTGTGCTTCATCCATCTGACTTACTGTCAGTGAAAATTTGGTTTGCCATAATTAATGTGAAGTGCATTCAATTTGGAATTAGAAATGCATTAGGAAGTCATTCTGATGGTGTTTCTCAGTTTTGGTGTAAAAAAATATAGGCCTATATGTATATATATATATACTTTAGAACAACCTAAAAAAAAATATTAGGTTTTGTCAAATTATATGTAAATTTTGATTTAATAATAATTATTATTAATTAGTTCTGTCAAATGATTAATCACATCCAAAATAGAAGTTTTTGTTTACATAATATATATGTGTGTGTATTTATTATGTATATATAAATACGTACACACACGCATGTATATATTTCAGAAAAATATGTTGTTTATATGATAAATTTATTTAGATATAAAATATAAGAATATAAATGTATTGTATTTTTTAAATATTTACTGTATGTGTGTGTATTTATATATACATAATAAATATACACAGTAAACACATATTATGTAAACAAAAACTTTTATTTTGGATGCGATTAATCGCGATTAATCGTTTGACAGCACTATTATTAATATTAATTAATCTTCTCACAAGACAAACATTCAAAACATAATTCAACAATATCTTTTCTTCAGACATGAGCCAAAATGTTACTTATCTCTTTTTCTTTTTTCCTTTTTTTTGGCCTTTTAAACTTATTTTCACAATAAACTAAAATAGCTATGAAAGCAGAACTTTATAAATAAAGACAACTTTGAAAGAGATTCATGTTTATTGTCTGTTCAAAATATGCATTATATTTTCATTATGTAAAAAACACTTTCAAACTTTGTTTGCGTCAACCCTGTTACTGAACATTCACAATGTTGTGGGCATGTATTTTTCCTGCATATTTCTATAGAGGCCCATTTTTGCCACAAGATAATAAATAAATTTAAAAAAAAAGTAACTGCAGCTTTTTACCACAAAATTTTTTTTTCTTTTTCTTAAGAATTACAAGATGTAAACTCACAATTGTAGGATATAAATGTGCAATTCTGAGAAAAAAGTCAGAATTGTGAGATAAAAAAGTTGCAATTACCTTTTTTATGTTTTATTCCGTGGCAGAAAGTAATATAGAAAAAAATAGAATTGTGAGATATAAACTCTGAATTGTGAGCTGTAAACAAGAAAAAAGTTTATATAAGAGTTGTAATGCATTACACTTGTCACTCTAGAAAAAAAAACATTTTATGGATTAACACTGGGTTCTGCATCTGTTGAATTTCATTCATGCATTTGGCTTTTATCCTAAGCAAATTACATTGCATTCAAGATTTTTCGTTTATCAGTTCATGCATTCCCTGGGAATCAAACCCATGATCTTGGCATTGCTACTGTAGCTGCATGGTCTATTATTTGAGCTACAGGAACTACTTCATGCCAGAAGTGCATGACCATAAATCATCCCCATCAATAATTTTGCCAGAAAGAAGTCTGCTGTATGAATATGAGACATAATTTTCCAGGGTTACCTGACAGTGTGAAGCCAGACTGGTAGAGGTTCCTTGCAGGGGCTTTGGTGGGTGAGGTACGGGTGGAGGCAGATGGCGTGCCGCCCCTCGACATGGGTGAGAATTCAGACACGGGGCCGTCATACATGCCTCTGGGGACCGCCTTCAGAATGGCCAGCTTTAGGAGAAACCCAAACACAGTGCTTCAGTTCAATACAGGATTGTGCAGCACACCATTTATAGAGAACGACAGAGTTTGGGTGTTTGCAGTTACATTCCATGGATGCGTTTCTCCTCATGTGGGTTGTTTTTGGGAATTGTGTGCTGAAAATTGTGTTGAAAATTGGTTCCAGATTTGGCTGACAGATTGTTGAGACGGTCAGTCGTGTTGCACTATCATCTCTATTTTGTACAATGTAAGCAAGCTATTTTTGAGATTTGCTGTATTAATACAAACAGTGGACAAAATGCAGGGAGAGGAAAAAACAAACTGTGACTCAACCTAAAATCATCTGAACTGAAAGAGTACAAACATTCAAAGATATATTCAAGATTTTGGGATTTCAAGATTTGAATCCCAAGGCCATCCAAGTTTGTTTCTTCATCAGATTTGGAGAAATGTAGCATTGCATCACTTGCTCACCAATATGCTCACTTAATGATGGATTTGTTTCTTACAAACATGCAGCTTTTGGTTTCTTAAGACATTAATTGATAGACTACTTGTGGATTATTGTGATGTTTTTATCAGCTGTTTAGAATCTCATTCTGACGGCACCCATTCACTGCAGAG